CATGGAAGAATCCAGAGCAATCTGCATCCCATTTCCCTATTGGCAATTTGGTTAACCTCTTCAGAGGATGGTGTGAAAAAAATAGGAAGTAGGAACTGGCGAGGCAGTTAGGGTGAAAAGACCCCAAAGTAAAGTGGCCAGTTTCTTGGCTAAAAGTCAAAATGTCCTTGGGCCTCTTAGCATCATACTCTGTTCCAAAGGCCAAAAGTGTCAAAAGTATTTAGGGAGCTTGTATCTAATCCTTAAAAGATTTTAGGAATACCTCCTCTGAGGGGGGAATGTTAGAGTAGCCAAAAGCCTCATAAAAATAAATAAATTAATCAAAGAAGAAGGAAGAGTATATGAAGTTATCAAAAAAAAGTGATGGGGAGATATGGGAGGAGTTGGAGGGGAAGGAGTGGGATGGATTTGATCAAAACACCTTATATGCATGTATGAAATAATAAATTATTTATGTAAATAAAAAAATAATATCCCAAAAGTAAAAATTTACTACAGCTACATTTTCAGGCAGGTCAACATCAGGGAAAAGCTTGACTCATTTTCAGAAATTGTTAATTGGAACCTATTTCTCTTGATAGTGTCCTTAGAAAAATCACCTGCCTTTAAGTATATAATACCACAGATGACGTCTTGTATATATGCACAATGACTTAGTTTCTTTTGCTGTTGCTGTGATAAAATACTTTAGCAAATGGAGCTTAAAGAAGGAAGGATTCAGTTTGACTCACAGTTGAAGTGAAATCACAATGGCTAGAGTTGGTCATACGGTATCCATAGCAAGAAGCAGAGAACAATGGATGCCAAAGCTCAGCTCTCTTCCTCCATTTTACACAGGCCAGAATGCCTGGCCGGAGTAGGGTTCCACTTAAAATGAGTCTTCTCACATCATTTGATCCAATCACATATCTTTCCAGATATGTGTAATCTTGAAAATCCCTGGCAGTTGTATGTAGAGGCTTGTTGCCTAGGTGACTCTAAAGCCTGTGAAACTGACAACAGTAACCATCACACACAAGAAAATAGACATAAATACATTAACTGGAGCATGTTTGCAAAAGTAGAAAATTAGAAAGAAACTAAATGAGGTTCAACAGAAGAATGAGTTCATTATGGTATTGCCAGAAACTAACAAATGTAAGGTATGTATGAACATGAAAATGTGGCACTTGAAGGTTTGCCATGCTCCAGTGATGACGCCATACCATGCGTTTATGGGCAACCCTAACTGAACTTAAAGGTTATTAAAAATGTGAAAACAAAGAGATAAAGTTGGGAGTGTACATGTTGAGGGGAATATGAGCAGAGCTGGAGGGGAGAAATAGGGGTAGATATGATCATGTTCCATTGTTTGTATGCATGTATGAAATTCTCAAAAGCAGAAGAAAAAATAATTTCAAAATAGTGTGTTGAATATAAAAGAGAAAATCCTTATATTTACAGACAAATATTCCAGTCACTACTCATCAAAGAAGCTCATTTTGTACCACACAGAAATTATTACCAAGTATTACAACTGGTCACACACAGACATTGTTTGTGAATTGCCCAGGCCTAAGTGTCACATCTACAATGCAACCTCTACACCTAGGCCTCATTGAACATAGAGCAGGAATAATGAAGAGGACATTAATAAATCTCTCAGTTCTCATTAATGAACTTCCCTAATGCAACAGAGGGCCAGGAACATAAAAGGTCGCAAATGGCCAAAGCATAGAGATTACACCCACATGGCAGCTAATAACTGTCTGTAACTCCAGTCCCAGGGGATCTGACAGCATCTTCTGACCTCCATGGGCATTGCATGACACAGGTACACTTACCTACATGCAGGCAATATATGCATACACATAAAATAAAAAAATTTTTAAAAGAGTGTGCATATTTTTGGTCCTTTGAAAGAACACCTATATTAAACTTCACCCACCCTGGCTCAGGGACCATTACAAAAGAGGGGCAGAAAGGCTGCAAAAGCCAGGGAGGAGGTTCAGGACCATACAGAAATAGAGTCCTAGGGGTTCCTAGGACCCTGCTCATATGAATCTACTGCAATGGTTTCAGCACACACAAGTCCCATGTAAACTTAAGTAGACAAAAACCCAGCATAGAACTGGGGAAATGGGCAGCAAACCCCAATCTTATCTGAAGAAATATTGGCAACTGATTACTGCTGGGTGAGGAAGAGCTGATCTTTCTAAAGTAAGGGACTCTAGATAAGCTGACTAGACCTCAGTAGATGAACTCGCACTGAGGAACATCTGGGGACACTAACTTGACACAAATGACAGAATGTATGAATTCCAGTGTGGGGGGTGTGGGGGAGGGTGCCATTGGGGAAGGGGTAATAAAGATGATTAAGATTGATTGAGATGTTCTGTGTGAAACATACAAAAGTTCAATAAAAACAAATTTAAATAAAAGAAAGCTGAGGGCAATATGAACATTACAGTCTCCTCTATATAAATTGCAAATTCTATATAACAGTAGACTTCTAGACTCATGAGTTAATAAATGCATGAAAATACATTTCACATGGGATTATGAAATACTCTTTTAAAAATTTTATTGTGTATGGTTTGCCGTAGATGAGGAACAGCTGACCCTCCTGGAACAGGGACCTCTGGCTGACTAGAATTACCAGAAGGGCAGACAGGGGGAATGGATGAGGGTGCTGACAACACAGTGGACAGTGACAGGGATGGCAGAGTATGGAGCCTCTAGTGGTGAACCTCAAAATTTACAGCTAATTTTGAAAGAGAAGCATCTTTGCTCTGGAAATTGTTATTGAATATGTTAATGATGTAATGAAAAAAAAAATTAGTAGATGTGAAAAACATTACCATTGAAATCTACCTGATGACTTTATATCCATGCTCAGATGCCTAGAAGCTCAGAAAGTAACCAACTGTGACTAGTAATAATCAGATATTTAGAGATTAGAAATGCATGTGCAAACATCCAATGTCAATTGCATTGAAAAAGAATTTTCCTATATGAACTGTGTATTTTAATAATGAAATGGAGAACTTTTTTAAAGGTTAAAACATCATTTAATTTATGTCTTATAGGGTTTATACTGAGTACAATATTGTATAACTGTAATAATTAACTGTAAACCTAAAAATTTACAGCCAATTTTGAAAGAGATGCATCCTACCTCAGGAAAACGTTATAGAATATGTCAATTGTGTTGTAATGATATGCTTCTTCGAAGTATGTTGTTATTAAATAAATCATTTTTAAAAATTAAAAAAAAATTTTATTGTGTTTATTATTATTACATAAGTGCACATGTATGTGAGTGATGTGCATGCAAGTGCAGGCAAGCACCCACCATCGCATATGCACAGAAGTTAGAAGACAATTTTCAGGAGTCAGTCTCTCCTCTGCCACACTCTACAGATCACACTCAGGCTTTCGTGATAAGTACTTTTACCTGCTGAGCCATTCTGTCATTCCTGAAATGATATTCTTATATGATATGCTAAACACAGATCTCATAAACAAGTTACTTTCAGGGAGAAGGAACATAAAAGGAATTAGAGAAGAAAACATGTTTTCACTATGTCTATATTTAATTTTTAAAAGAAAAAAAATTTGAACACATAAGTCTCATAATGAAAGAGTGGGATTCTTTGATAAAATTGAAATATGGACACCTAAATATTTCATATTAATCGCTGTTCTTTTCTCAGAAAAGTCATTCACATATTTTAAAAGTATAAGTAGGTGTGTGGTATGTATGGATGGAGATTTTGAAAAGGGATCACAATGTGAAAACTGAAATCATAATTTACCACAAAATGTTTTAAAAGATTAATTCACATTGCAGCACATCTAATTGAGAATTATGGTGTAAAGTGATGGAGAGTTACAAAATGGATTCCCTGGATGCAAAACTTGCTAAGATAATCAACAGAGAAAAAGTATGCTTGATGGACTTCACCCTCTTCATTTGTAACACAGCATAATTAAACAGATCTTGTAAAGTTCTTATACAGCTTATATATGATTAGAAATAGATTGTCATTGTTCAAATTTACCTGTGCCTAAAATATATCACTGGAGTCATAATTGTTGGTGTATCTGGGCTGATTGGCTGAGGATGACTTTTTTGGTGAAAGTTTTATAACTGAAGCATACTACGAAATCCAAAGCCCTCTTAGGGGACTTGGACCTTTAAGCACTGTTGAGAAGGTTAATTTGAGGACAGCTCCCTTCTCAGGCCCCAGTAATGTTTTCATTTTTCCATTTAAATGAAGGAAGCTGTTGGGAGCTGGCCATTGGGACATTTGATTGACAGCTGTCAGATCCCAGCTGCTGTCTACTGCTGTAGCAGGCAGGGAGTGGAACTGAAGTATTGCCTCAGGAAGAACAGGGACAAAAGGCAGATCTGGAGCCAGAAAAGTTCTTCCCAAAGCCAAAAGTATAGCCAGGGTATGAGAGATACTGCTTCCATTCCCGCAGCTCCACAGAACTCAAATTCAGTCCTGACAATTTCAGGAATGCTGTCAATCAAGCAACCTTCACCTCATCTCTACTTTGAGGTGTCGTCAGTGAGATCACAACTGTTATAAATACCGAAACCCACTCAGGAAAGATGCTAGCCAGGCAGGGTTGCTGGGGGTGGGAAGTGGGAGAGGCGGAACTGTTGTGTAACTTTAATTCAGTCACCGCTCCCGGAAGAGGCTCCTCTCCAGCTCAGAAATCCCTACAGCTGTCGTGTTTTTAGTCATTAGTGCTCCACGCACACCATGACAGTCTCAGCTGACTAAACTTTAGACTGTGGTCTGAATCCTCGATTGCTCCACTCACAGCATTTGCTGATGTCTCATCAGTCCCCACCCTGGTAGGAAGCAACTTTGACATGCCTAGTCCATTGCCTAGTATAAGCTGCTCTCCGGGTTGCTCCTGGGTGCAGCCTGAAAGCTTTTCTCCTGTGTTCTGCCACCCCCAGTCCTCACCTCTCACATTTCTTACAGCAGTATTAGAGCACAAACCTCTCCACGTGATTTTACGCCTTATCATGATCTTCACAGGCAGCGATGGCTTCACAGCTTCTGATTTCTGGACCTGTCATCTCCAGGCAAACCGACTGGCAGCAGCCAGACGATGGCTTGAGAGTTCCACAGGATGCTGGAGGCAGAGACTGGAGGCTGTGAAGGAAAACGTAGGAGCTGAGACGGAGCTGAGACTGCATTAGAGGGGAGACTGAAAAGCCGAGAGTGCAGAAGGCGTAGAGCCACAGTTCCTTCCGAGCAGCTGTAAATCCCTATCCTTGGACAAATTCCAGAGAACCACGCAGCATCAGAGTGCCTAAAACCCATGGCCCTGACAACTGAAACTCACAGCTATAAAATACGAGTAAGGTGCTGGGCCACTAGAACTCAAGTTCCACCACAGTAACCCTCTGTCTTTGAGGACCTACAATGTAAGTTATCTGGCTTTAGGAGCATGGAGCCCTAAGTCCATGATTCATAAGTCCAAGAATAATAACCCTCTTGCTTTGAGAGCCTAAAGTAGTAAATCTGGCGCTTTAGGAGCCAAGAGTCTTTCTCTGGTTCTCAAAGCACTTATGTAAGCCTCTAGCACTCTAAGGCCCAGGGAGCTGCTCTTTGCTGATCATTCTATCCATCCTGAGAACCATAGTCAGATCTGAAACAGCATTACTGCTAAGTTAATTTGTATGTTTTTGCTCATACACATATGTTCCACACACAAGCTGCCACATGTACAATTTCTTCACTGTATAAGGGCATAAAGGGGCACGCTTCAGTAGACATTGTACACCAACCTTTGAATTTGATCTTTGTAGGAGCTGTTGATATGTGTGACACTCTTGGGTTTCCAGGGAGCACAAGTGAAACAGAAGACTGCAACAGCAAACAGCTAGTCCTCTACAGTGTGCGTTTAGGCCAACGTTGTGTAGACAAGGGGGTTTGGGGCTTTATATCTAATTAAAAAAATGTTCATGTGGACTGGAGAGATGGCTCAGTGCTTAAGAGCACCGGCTGTTCTTGCAGAAGGCCCAGGTTCGAATCCCAGCACCCACATGGCAGCTAACAACTATAGGTAACTCCAGTTCCCTATAGGAACTGAACATCCAACACCCTCTTCTGTTCTCCACAGGCACTACAGCACAGGAGCACTTACATACATGCAGGTATAACACTTATACACATAAAATAAATGTTAATTAATTTTTTAAATGCTCATGTTAAGTGAACTATGAGATGTCAATACTCACTATGAAATGGGCATTGTGTTAAATGTTGTTAATTTAAATTTTCCTAAAATATTTAAGGTAGATTAGGCAAAATTGAGATGTTTTATAGGTTAAGTGTAATAGGTTATCTTCAACTTACAGTTCTGTCTATCCAGATCTATACACGGTGTAGTTTTTGTACCCGACCACTATCCCCACTGTAGCGTTTGTAGGTTACCTCAACACAAAAATCTTACAGGCTTTGAATTATTTCTATATAACTTACAGGTGGTAAGATAAAAAGAGAATCAGGGTATAAATAGTTGCTATATGTATTATTTGAAGAATAGTCAGAAGAAAAAACTGAACATGTTTAGTAAAGCTGCAGTTTTGTTTTTCTGTAGTTTCAGTTTGTATTTGCTTGAAGCACTTGCCACCAGGCCTGATTTTGATCCCCATCACCCACATGGTAGAAAAAGAAAACAACGTTTCACAAGTTTTCCTCTGACTTTCATAGGCAGCTGCATTGCAAACACAAATACACACACACACACACACACACACACACAAATAAATATAATACAAATTTCTGCATTTATGTCAAATAGGTTTATGTTTTATTTTCAAAAGAGATACAGTTACTACCAGCCCTTTATTTACTCTGTCTGCTCCAAGGAAACATTTTGTAACACTTTCAGTATAGTAAAAGAAGTTTTGCTATCTTGTAGCATTTAAATGAAATCACTTTGTAAGAGTTTGTATAACTTTATAACTACTCTGATCTATGCAAAAGCCCACGTTGTGAAAATGAAGCAAAACAAGTGTTGTGAACCTGTTTTATTTGTGGCTGATACACAGTCATGTACATAGTACACTGACTGAAGTAAACTTGAACTTGTTTAATATGTAGACAAGTTTCAAAATGTGCCCTAAAGTGTCCTCAGAAGGAGTAACTTAAAAGAAAATCCATAAAATACTTTTACCTCACAAGTAATAAAAGCACTTTCAATATAAAATGAGGAAAGAGAATGGGGAGACTGATGACGTTTTCAATGCAGTTTTGTCATCATGTAGATCTTAGACTACCAAACTGTGGGAATTTCATCGCTGCAACTTTCCAGTCACGTCTAGAATACATTAACTAGCAGCCAGTGTCTTCTCCCTCTGACTTTTACACTCTTTCTTCCCTATTGTCTGTAATGTTCCCTGAGCTTTAGCTCTAGAAGTTGCATTGTAGATGTATTACTTATGGCCGAGCATCTCATTGTCACTTGTTCTCTGTGTGTGACAAGTTGTGGAAATTTGTGATAGTCTCCATTTGTTGCAAAAAGTAGCTTCTTTGATAAGTGGTGGTGAGGTACACTTGTCTGTAAATAGAAGGGTATGCATGTATTTATAATTGTAAGAAATCATTTTGTTCTAAGGAAATGACAGAAGTAGGTTCTTTTCTGGGCTCTGTGGTCTATGACCTATCCAGTCATGTCTTCTTGGTTATATTTACAGTATCATGTATGAATTATCTCCCATTAAGTGGGCTTTAAGTCCAATTAAACATGTCACTGGGGTCCAGCTCATGAGGAAGTATTATAGGCAATCAATGGATGCCAAAGGATGGAGAATTAGTTTTCTCCAGGGACAGGCTCTCTGTGATGTTACCTAATCTGGAGTGGGCAGTTCTAAACACAGGCATATATCAACACCAATAAATGGACTCATGGCAGTATATGTACATGTATATTCATAAATGAATACATGTATTATGTAACAATGAAAACCAAAGAAGAAAATAAGAGCTTGAGAGAAAATAGGAGGACCTGGGAAGAGTTGGGGGATTTCTGGAGGGGTAGAAGTTCAGCAAGTAAAATACTTATGCATAAAATTCTTAAAAATGAAATAAAATTATTTTTAATTGAATTTTTATTGAATTTTTTGTGTATTTCATACAGAACATCTCAAACGATCTTAATCATCTTTATACCCCTGTCCCCATTGACACCTTCCCATACCCGCACTTCCCCCACTGGTGTCCATATACTGGGTCATTCCTGTTAAAGTCCACTGGGTTGTCACTGTCCCTACCCATTCCCTAGTGCAAGTCCATCCCACTGAGTCTAGTCATCCTATCTAAAGTCCCTTGTTTTAGGAAGATCAGCTCTTCTGCATTTAGCAGCAATCAGTTGCCAACATTCCTTCAAATAAGATTGAGGTCTGCTGTTCATTTTCCCAGTTCTATGCTGGTTTATTGTCTGCTTGTGTTTGTATGGGACTTGTATATGCTAAGACCGTCACCATACATTCATATGAGCAGGTTCCCAGGAGCTTGTAGGACTCTGTTTCCTTATGGTCATGAACCTCCTCCCTGGCTCTTAACTCTTTCCACCCCCTTTTCAGCGATGATTCCTGAGCCTTATATGGGTGAAGTTTAATAGAGTGGTCATGTCCAAGGGCCATCATTCTGCAGACCCTTGATCTCTATACTTTGGCCATTTGTGACCTTTTGTGTTCTTGGCCCTCCACTGCATGAGGGAGCTTCATTATTGAGAACTGAGAGATTCTTTAGAGTCCTCTTCTTGGAGCTAAAGGGAAAGAAGGAGCTCAAGAGAGGTGAAACCATAGGTGGTGGTATTATCAAGGGGGGAATGGGGAAAATTGTGGCACTTTAAATGGGGAAAACATGGTGGAAGCATTAGACAGAGAGAGAGAGAGAAAGAGAGAGAGAGAGAAAGAGAGAGAGAGAGGAGATAATACCTAGCTAGTTTAAAAAAAAAAAACAGAGGGAACCATATTAGTCCAACAACCTACTGTTACACGTACATTATCTCTACGTGAATCCATGTGTATAGCTAAACGCTACATAACAAGAAACTGCGAGACAGGAAACACCTTCCTTTGAGTTGTTGGCCAGGGTTGTCCAAGAGACTCCCAACATTACTCAGGCTATTGTGACAGCTCTAGATGGCCTCCCAGAATGTGAAGGTAAAACCCTACTGCTGAAGAAAGGGCATTCTTCAGACACAGGATTTGAAGCAATAGACCTGTAACTGACCTGCAACCACTCCCCCTGAAGGCTAACTCTCATAGCTTTAAAGAACGTTATGAAGGTGCCAATGGAAACCATCAGTAGATGATCTAACACCAGTTTCAAGACCAAATAAGCACATGAATGGCCAGCCAGCATACTGCATTGGTGCAGTAGTGGCACTTTTATTTCGGGGGCAATTAACACCTGCTTAATTTGACTAAATGCCCACTAAATGGTAGGAAACTCAAGTGTGGTACTGTAAATATAACCTAATACACATGGCTGGAGTGGTCTTAGATCTTAGAGAAAACCCCAAGATGGTCATATCGTTAGACTGATGTGATTTTTTGCTATGTGCAAAATATGTACCATTATATTTACAGACAAATATCCCAGTCACTACTCATCAAAGAAGCTCATTTTGCACCAGTCAGAGACTATTACCAAGTACCACAACTGGTCACACATGGACAATTTCTATGAAATGCCCAGGCCTAAGTGACACATCTACAATGCAACCTCTATACCTAAGGCTCCTGGAACGTAGAACAGAGATAATAAAATTATTTTTTTTTATTTTAGTTATTTTTATTTTATGTGTATGAGTGTATTGCCTGCATGTATGTGAGTGCACCCGTGTCATACCATGCCGTGGAGGTCAAAAGAGGGCTTCGGATTCCCTTGGAACTGGAGTTAAGGATGGTTCACAGCTGCTGTATAGGTGATGGGAATTGAGCCTGGCTCCTTTGCAAGAGCAGTCAGTGCTCTTAAACGCTGAGCCATCTCTCCAGCCCCAATAAAAGTATTTTTTTAAAGCCAGTTTTACTGTCCTTTGAAATAATTCCTGGAGCTTTGATCAGAAATTGCCAAATTCCTTTAGTAGCTGTTTAAAATCCTGAATAATAATGTTTGTCACTGTAAATATTACAATAAAAGGTTTTATTAAAGCAAGTAATGGTAATATTTTAATAA